GTAGAGCTTACATTTAAAAAAAAAAAAAAAAAAAAAGGACAGACACATAGAATTTTAGAACATGTAGGATATAGGATAAGGAGAATCTCTTAGAAACACCCTCCCAATCCCACCGCCCCCCAAAAAAGACGTCGCATACATAGGGTGTCAGAAAGTCATGGTACTTCTAAAAAGCAAGACCAAAAACTAGGATTCAATATAATAATGCCTTAAAATACTGAAATTTGTAATCTAGAGTTCTCTCTTTTGCAAAATATCAATCCAGCTTTTGGATATAGTAAAGGCATTTTCAGTCATGCAAGGTCACAAAAGTATTCTCAGGACTTACGGAGAATGTGTTACACCAAAAGGAAGGGATTGGCCACACAAAGGAATGCTTGAGATTTATAAGACCGGGCTCTGATAAAGGAGGTAAACAAAAGGAAGACTCAGGCAAACAGTGAAGAGAAGCCCCAGACCGATAGCTGTGTCTGATCTGGGCAGCATCAATAAGAACAGGAGGATGAGGGTTCAAAAAAAAGGTCTCCAAGGAAAAAATTGAATGAATTGAACACCTCATGTGTCTAGCATATGACAAGTTTTAAAGTACAACCAGAGTATTTCAAGCTGAATTAATGATGGGAATATAAAATATATATAAACAAACAGAAAAAAATGAAGCAATGATTAACTTCAGGAAAAACATAAATGAAATGAAAATGTAGTCAGAATATACTACACACTCACCAGTAAATACCATTTTACCCAGCCACAATAATTCACACAATTGTGCTTAAACAGTCATACAGTCATATAGTGCTTAAATAGTTGTATAGTTAATACTCTGGGACAAGTGGGTGCTGCTGTATATATATTGGGGGGTGGGGGGGGCCAGAGCTAAGATCTTAAGCTAAATCATCTCCCATGATGGGAAGTCATTATATAACATTTAAAATAAAAAAGCCAACAGGTAAGTCTAGATGAGAAGAAGGTGGCCAAAGCTGAAAAGAGTTGGAACGTGCACCCTAGCAAGCAAGGGATATGGGAAATAGGTCAGAATTATTTTTTTCATTTTAAGTGTATTTTCAAAAATTATGCATATGTATAGCTTTGCTAAAAAACAAATTTAATTTAAGAAGAAATAGGACTATGAAAAAAGGAATTAGAGACAGTCCAGACCACTCTTCAAGGCATGCTTCAAAGCATTCCATAGTAAACACTCCCACTGCCACCTACCCCACACAAAGAACATCCTGACAGCTTTTTAGCACCCTCTCTTAAATCAGGACAAGAAGCCAAGGGTCATTAGACATTTGAGAAAACTAACATGAAATACAGGTTTATAAACAAAAAGAATCAAAAATGGGGAGAAGTGGGGAACCAGAGACTATGCTATAGAAATACAAGAAGAAAACAAAAAACTTCTAGTAATATCCTCACCAAGATAATAGAAGATACTGTATGCATGAATCAAGAACAGAATACTAGGGGCACCTGGGTGGCTCAGTGGGTTAAGCCTCTGCCTTCAGCTCAGGTCATGATCTCCAGGTCCTGGGATCGAGCCCCGCATCAGGCTCTCTGCTTGGCAAGGAGCCTGCTTCCTCCTCTCTCTCTCTGCCTGCCTCTGCCTACTTGTGATCTCTGTCTGTCAAATAAATAAAATCTTTAGAAAAAAAAAAAAAAAGAACAGAATACTATTTCTTAAAAAGGAATAAAAAGAGAAGGGGGGGAGGAGAGGGAAAGAGAGGGGGAAGAAGGTACGTCCAGAAAACAAAATTAATTAAATTTAAAAATAAATAGGATGCCAGCAATTAAAAAGAAATGTAATAGCAGAACTAGGAAGATACAATTGAGACTATCACCCAGAAGAATAGAAGAAAAAGACATACGAAAATAGGGGGTGGGGTGCATATTAGAAAAGGAAGGAATAAATTCATGAAGTCTAACATCCAGCTAAGACCTTTGGAAGGAAAGGAACAGCAACAGAAATAGAAATGAAAAAACAACTCAAGAAAACTTACCAAAATTACAAAGCAGGAGTTTCACTGTGAGGACTCACCCAGAACACTGGAGGAAAACAGACATAGACCAAGGAAAAAATTCCAAATAAAAGGACAAAGAGAAGACCCTACAGACTTCCTGACGGTGGGGACAGGGAATCAAGAATCAGGAAGACATGGGATTGTAACAGCAGTATCACGAGTTACAACACAACAGAGCGATGTCTCCAGGTTTTTTAGAGACAATATTTCCAACCTAAATTCCAAGCTCAGCCACAAACTCACCAAATCACGAGGGCAGGATAAAGCTATCTTTCGACATGCAAGGTCTTAGGAAATTCATGTCTCACATACCCTTTTTCAGGAAGCTACTAGAAGACAAGCTCCAACAGGAGGGGTAAACCAAGGAGGAAAATGATGTGAGGGCCACACAAGGGCTCCTACCCAAGAGGGAAACCAAGGAGGCTGTGGGGTGGTGGCCAAGGGCCCTCCCAACACGGGACCGGGCAGGGCGGCATGTGGCAAGAGCCGCAACCAGACCAGATGGAAGTAGGTCAGAGGCCCTGGCAGGGATGTCTTAAGATGTCGAGAGTGACAGCAAACCCGATGTGTTGGTTGTATTGTAAGAGAAAAAGGAGTCATGGCAAACAATACAGGACAGCTTTGAACAGCATTTTCCAGGCACCACATTATAGATACTAATTGAAGCCTAACCAACTCCCGGCTGACTATACTGCAGAAGGTATGGGGAGGAGCCTTGTGTATGGGTTAGGAGAGGTGAAAAGAACGAAAGCCAGATAGATAATGCTAAACACTGGGGAAGAAAATTAAGAAGTGTCAATACCATCAATAACAAACAGCAATTGCTTATTTATTGTTATTTACAAGGACCCCTCTCCGTGTTATTTGGAGAAATAGATACCAGCACCAAAAGAAAAACCAAAGGAGTTGGAAGTGGAGCCCTAAGGAATGGGCAACTGGTCTGTGTGTGGCCGGGGAGCTGCTGCATGTCTGTAATAAGCCATACAGAACTGTAGGATTCATGTGTACATCTGGCCTCAATAAAAACAAGAACCAAAATGTTTACGTTCTATAGAAATTCAAGAATGCTCATCCTTGTAGTATGTAAAACCATCCACTGGAAAACAAGGATTTTGCAGTCAGGAGTCCCGGACTCAGCAAACATCCTTCCTTCTGCCTAACACCTGAACCAGAAATATTAGCAGAGAAGAAATGACTGACCTTAGCCACTGGTCAGAGTCAGTGTCTCTAGGGAAACCAAAATAATCCTGAATTCAGGCAAACACGGTACCATCTATACCACAATGCCATCTGAAAGCTGCATTTCTATACCCACAGAAATAACTGACACCTCTTTTACGAACAATGAAGGGGAAGGGCCGGAAGGAGAAAAGCACATTGTCTGATTCAGTACATCTCACAACTTGGCCGGTGGATCGGTGCCACAGGAATCAATCAGAAGGCCTGTTCCCCTACCCACCGCCACCTTCTGTTATTCAAATTTCCACCAGCGATCGCTGAAACTAGGACTCCAGCTTCCAGATATTCATAAATCTCTGGGAATCGACAAGGAACAGGAAGATGGAGAGGCCGCTCTGCAGCAGATGTTGCTGAGAATAACTTAAGATGACGGAAGGAGAGCTCCGTCGCCTGGCTCTCTGACTCAAAGATGACATCTCCTCTCCTCCTGAGCCTCTTGCAGAGAGACCATTACAAACTGCAGAGTTGGTTAGTTACCACTTACGATGCCATAAGCAAACAAAAATAAAGTCACTGATCATTTGGCCTGAGTTTCCATTTCTTCATCTATAAAACGTAAAAAAATTGTGCTCCCACCAGTTAGAACTATTTTGAACTTTAAACGAGACCATACACATTCTAAGATCAGTGACTGGAAGCTTAAGAAGCTCTCGGTTATTCTAATTGCAGGAGCCTCTTTAAAATCGAGTGGGGGGGCACCTGGGTGGCTCAGTGGGTTGGGCCTCTGCTTTTGGCTCAGGTATGATCTCAGGGTCCTGGGATGAGCCCCACATTGGACTCTCTGATCAGCGGGGACCCTGCTCCCCGCCCCCCCTTTCTCTGCCTGCCTGTCTCTGCCTACTTGTGATCTCTGTCAAACAAATAAAATCCTTAAAATCGAGTGACCCGGGATGGGGGTGGAGAGGGAGAGGCATCTGGCCAACGTTAGAAGACAGAAGGAAGGAACCACTCGTCGCTCCAGGCTGTATCCCGCCTGAGGCATTTAATTCGGCGCTGGGCACGAGCGACCATCCTCCGGGCCTCTCATGCTGAGACCCCAGCTGGGCGACCGTCTGGCCAGGAGACAAGGTGCTGGGCCCTGGCTGAATCAAGACACCCAGCACCCGTGAGCCTTGCTCCAACGGCTGCTCCAGCCCTCCACCGCGGCAGCCTTTGGAAAAGGATGCTCGCTTGGGCTCCGTGCACGGGCAAAAAGCGGAGAGCACCTAGCCCTCACGAGGAATTTTCTCCCACCAACCAAGAGTTACGCAACAGCCTGCGTAAACAAATTCAAAATATTCTTTAGAGACAACGCAGCGGGTCAGGGAGTTAACACAGCGAACAGCGGCCCCATTCATAAGACTGAAAGCCTGACTCCATGGTTCTTAACCTCTCCCGGAGTAGGTCCTCTTTGAGAATCCGGTGAAAGCTGGGCTCCTCTACGAAAAAAAAAATGGGCGCTTAGATATAAGTGGATGGGATTTCAGAGCGCAGTGAAGCAACCCCGGCCCTCGGGTGAAGGCACGGAGTTCAGCAGCGCTTCGGCTGAATTCCTGTAACTGGCTCAACCCGGAGCCATCCTATTATGGAAATAAAGGGTGGGAGGGCAAGGGCGGGGCTGACAGCATCCTGATTTTGTTAAGGGACGTGGATTCTTCATCTACCAGGAAAAAAAAGGGGGAGGGGGTGCCCGGAGCGCAGCGAGACCCGGAGCGGGGCAGCCCGAAGCAGGCCCCTCGCAGCACATTCCCGGCCGGGTACCTGGCAGAGCCGCCGCTGCCGCCGCCGCCTCGTCCGCGCCCTCCGCGTCCCGGGCCTCCTCGGCCTCTGCCGCCTCCGCGCCCCGCTCCTCCGCCGGCCCGCGCGCCCGCCGTTCCGGCCCCTCCCGCGCCGCGGGCTCCGAGGGCGGCGAAGCGGGGGCGCCCTGGGGCGCTGGGCCTCCGGCGCCCGACGACGACGCCGATGACGCCGAGTCGTCCGAGGCTCCGGCCGGGCCCCAGTCGTCCCAGAGCCAGGGCGCGTGCGCCTGCTCCAGCAGCCGGCGGCCCAGGCGGTAGTGCAGCAGCTCGCGGTAGCACGGCCCGTACTCGTCCCAGCGCGGCTCCCGGTAGCGCTTCATGTACTCGCTCTTCACCCCGCTCCCCGGGGCCATGGTGCCCGCCGCCGGCTGGAGTGCGCGCCGCCGCCGCCGCCTACGGAACCGGGGACACTACACAGAGGCCCGCCCCGCCCCTCCCCTCCCGCCGGCCCGGCCCGCCGCGACGTTTAAACCCGGAGCCCCGCCCGTACGGGGCGGGACGCGGGCGGGGGCGGTGGTGAGGGGGCGGAGGGAGCGGGCGGTCGGCCCCGGGAAGGGGCGGGCCCCGGGAGGGCCCGGCAGGTGGCGTCGCGTCCTGTAACCCTGTCCGGAGAGCCCCGGCGGGGCACGGGGCGGGAGGAGCGGGCTGGGGGACGGGGACTACCTCGGGGGACCGCTCGGGAGGTGGGACGCCAGAGGCTGCGGGCTAGGGGGACAGGGCCGCGGGAGGCCGGGGCCCGGTGGCCGCAGGAGCGAGGCCAAGCAGGGGCGAGACTAGGGGGTCCGCGAGACGCCCTCCCAGCTTACCTCCTGGTGCCGCGCCGGGCTGGCCTGCGTCTCCCTTCCCGTCCTCCGCGCGCCGCGCGCTGCAGCTCCCAGCCACCCGGTCTCCCCGGCGCTTTCCTCCCGAGCAAGATGTCGCCGACGGCACGGCGGCCCGCGTCCCTGCGGCAGGCGGCAGGCGAAGGCGCCGCCTCAGTCCCCGGGAGCAGACACCTCCCCCGCGCGCTCCTGGTCCCGGCCCCCGCCCCGCTGCTTGGGGGTGGCTGCTTCAGTGCCTAGCGCGAGGCGCGGGGACACAGCGCCTCTGGCAGCCCCGGGCTGCATGGCCCCCGGCCCCGGCCCACCTGTCCGAGGCGCCCGCGCGCCCATATCTCCAGACGCCGCCATCCCAGGCGCCCGCCGCCGCAGGAGGCCTCGGTTAGGGGGTGGAGTTGCTGCCCTGTCCCGGGAGCGGTGCGTCCCCTCCCAAGACCCGCGACCTTCTGCGCTCCCTCCTGACGCACCTGCGCCCCTAGCCTTTCCCAGAAACGAGCCCACGCGTTGGCTCTCGGCTTCCCTTCTGTGTTCACAGCACCTGTTACTCTGGCTTTCACCTCTTTTTACGTTTTACCACAATTCCTTTCCGGTCGATACCCCAGACATTTTTTAAACTTCATGAAAACCGCCAACCCACCCTCTCAGAGACCTTTGTACAAAAAAAGCCTTAACAGATTCAGTTGCCTTGTGCGGACGTATACAATGTTGCTGTAGTCGTCACAGTTTCGAGAGTGGCCCCACGCAGATTCTTACCCTCTATTGAGAGGAGCCTTGATACATTCTTTACGAAAAGATTTGAAAGAACCTTTGGAAAATCAAAGTAATTAGCAGTTGAAAAGCAGGCCTCGGCCAGGAGTGAGTTCCCCTGTTCTGGCTTCCATACTGGGATTCCCGCCCCCACCCCCAACCCCTTCACCTGACATGTGGGTGGTGGTGGTGGTTGTTTTTTTTCCACCTACGATTTTTGAGTTTTGCTTCTGCCTTTGTGTTCTGTCCCAGCCCCTCATCGTAGCTGAAGGATCTAGAGGTAGATACTGCCCAAGTGGGACCCGTCAGACTGTCCTGAGAACTTGAAGTTAGCAGTGCCGGAGTCACTACCACTGGGTGGTTAATGGCACTTTTCCGGACGCACACTCCATGACCCCCACCGTTGATGTCTCCACAGTGGCCCTGACTTCTCCCCTCACCCCCAACTTTACCTTTTGTTCCTTGGGATACCTCCAGAAACTTTCTAAAGCTTTTCATTTTGCTTAAGCTGTCCCAGTTAGTTTCAGATGGGTTGCAACCAAAGAGAATTTTAACAAATACATTAGTAATCTGGAGGGAATGACGAGCTGCAGTTACATGAAATATACAGAACACAATGTGTTTCAGTTGGCCTTGGCCACGTAATTAACCACCCCAAATCTTGGTGGCTTAAAACAATTAAGATTTATTATTTCTCCTAATTCTGTGGGGTCACCAGGCAATTTCTCTGCTGGTTTCACGTGGCTGGTTTAGAGTCACTTACACAATAGCATTCAGCCGGAGGGAGAGCCATCCTGGAAGGCTCCAGAGGGCCTCACATGCCTTCCTGGTCATGGACTGCCTTGGTGGCCCCACTATGGCCTTATCCTCCAGGGGGCTAGACTGGTTTTTTCACCTGGTCCTCTTTTGAGAGGGTAATGACAGAAGCTGCACGGCCTGGGAAGGTCATAAGCATCTTTTGTGGTGCATACTAAGATTCAAACCACAAGGCCAGCCAGATTCAGAGAGGGAGAGAGAGATGAACTCCACCATACATGAGAGGAACAGCCGCACTTACCTTGCAAAGAGGCGTGAGTTCTGGAGGGAGAAATTTGTGATCAAACCTTACAGTCACACATCTACACACACACACACACACACACACACACACACACAAAATGTGTAAGGTAGTATACCACTTTTTGTATAACTAAAAATAGAATGAAGAACAATTTATTTGTTTTACTTTTACCTGTTTTGCACAATTAAGGGTATTACTTTCATTCTAATTTTTTTAAGTGTTATTATTCATCAGGGCTCATCTACTTGGAGGTGACAAAGACTAATTCAACCAGCTTAAACAGAAAGGATATTTAGGGGTGACGGGGTGGCTCAGTAGGTGAACCGTCTGCCTTCAGCTGCGTCTGCCTTCAGCTCGGGTCCTGATCCTGGGGTCCTGGGATCAAGAGCTTTTCCCTCGGCCTCTGCCGCTCCCCCTGCTTGTACTCCCTCTCCCTCCTCCCATCAAATAAATAAATAAGTCTTTAAAAGAAAGAAAGAGAGAGAGAAGGGAAGGATATTTAGTGACTCTAGCAGAACTAAATCCAGTGACCCAGTCAATGTCATCGGGATTCTATTTCTTTCTGTCTTTGAGCTCTGCTTTCCTCGTGGGTCTGGCTCCTGTGTCTCCCACTGTAAATGGACGTCTCCTACATAGCTGAGGAAGTACCCTTGTGGCCCCAAGCTTATGATGTCTCAGCAGAGGACCACCAGCAGCAAGAGAGAACTTCTTGGTATTCCAATTAGAGAAAGATTCTTCAGTCACAGGCTGAGCTGTTGCTAGGTGTAGAAAGTGATACGATTGGCCAAGCCTGGATTACCGTGCCCAGCCCTGTAGATGGCGATAGGGTGGCAGGCTAAGAGTGACAACCCCATGATAAGCACAGGAGGAGCGGTAGGCAGACAAAACTGCATGTGCTCCTGGGTATGTTTGTCTTTGTGTCTAAGAACAAGACGAGAGCTTTCTAATTTGACAGCACCTGCAAGGGGGTGGGGGGGAGCTGGAAGGTAGTTGATCATAAGTAAGGTACAGCTGTTAGGAAATTGACTACAATCATAAGCAGTATCTATCAAATCGTATTTCTCCATCAGGGGAGGCTAACATTCCCTCTAAAGAACCCTCTGTTCATATAGCACTGAGGGTTGCTAGTGGCGGGGGGGGGGGAGTGCAGAGTGTCCATCAGTTCTGCAGGTGGAATTGGGACCACGGAGCAGAGATGACAAGATATAACTGTGGCAAACGTCGTGGACTTGGAGCTGGTTTCTTACGCAAGAGGGAAATCTTAGGAACGGCCTGAGAAGCGCACAGAAGAAATAGGGAGAGTGGAATGTGAGTGGCATCGAGGAGAAACCCCAAGGCAGGCTGCAGGCTCCTGGACAGACAGGAGAGGGAAGATCTGCTCCCTCGACTTTGGGAGAGGGGAGGCTTCCGTGAGAGGCAGCCCTGGGAGAGCCTCTCCCCCCGGGGGACTGGGGAGCCAATAGAAAGGAATACGGAACTCCTGGAAGATTATAGGAAAATAATCGGTATTTGCTATATCGGCATACAGATTCCACGTAAGACCCGCTGCTGCGGGATCCTCACAAAAGGGGAGGGCTTCAGGCTGTTCTCCACCTTCAGTGGTGCACCCCGAATTCTCTGAGCTCCCCGCTTCCCAGAGCCCTGCCACCTAAAGCCTCAGGCGCTATGACCCTCAGGGTGCCACCCACTCCTGTGTCAATAACCTTGTCCTGAGCCAGGGGAGTCTGTCTTCCTAAGGCTGCCTCCATCTCACTCTTCCTTTCTTCTGGAATGTTCTTCCCACGTCGTTTACTCTCCTCTCAACTCTCCTGATCCTTTCCCTCCGCCCCCTCTCCAAATACAAACGTAAGTACTCAGATGTCCACCTCCCAGGGGAGAAGCTACATGTGCTAGAGCTTTTCCCCGGCCTCCCTTGCAGCCAGAGTGCAGCTGTGAGGCCCTAAACTCTGATCATCAGACCCTGCTGCCCCGAGGCTCAGCATCAGGGTTTACTGTTGCAAAGAAGCAAGGACCAGGAGGCTCTCTCTTTGGCTGAAATGCTGAGTTCAAGCCTGAGTTCCTGGGGCAGGCAGTGGCCGTGGTTCTCAGAGAGATGCTGGCATCCAGAGCTCAAGGTGTCTGGGACACCAGCCACATACCTCGCTCTCCTGGGGAGAGTGGCAGCCTCCGTAGTGGTTCCTCCTTGCAGAGCTGCAAGCCTGTTTTTTACAGATTCTGGAAGCCGCCCAGGCAAGTTTTAAATAGGTGCGTTTTCTTCTAAAATTAGCAGAGCTGATTTCTCTGATGAACAGTTAAGCACTTTGTTTAATAACGCCGGACAGTCAGGACTCCTTCCTCTTCTCTGCGAGGGTTCCCGGATGCCTTGGCAGCTTCCAATTCCTCCTTGTCCTTGTTCGAACTAAGGATTCCCCATTCTTCCCTTGCTTCTCTCATCCTGCTGTCTCTGAACAAGGATCCCAGAGCAGTGATGACTTCTTTCGGGCATTGATGCCCCCACGTCCTGCCCCTCTCTGCAGGGCCAGACCACCTTATTGCCTACTCTCTCCCTGTGCATAGCTCCACCGTGTGCTTCGTGTTAAGATCTGCCATCCTGCTCCCCCCCACCAAGTCCTTCTAAATTCCCAATTCCTGCTGACAGCATTTTCATTCTCCCACTCTCAGAGTCAAAATGTCAGAGTCATCCTCGAGACTGCAAATCACTTGCTGGGGTGACCTGTCGATCACACAG